GTTAAAACAAGCACTTTGAATTGGGCCTGGGCAGCAACTGGTAGCCAATGTAATTTAAACAGAATTGGCTTGATGTGTTCCCTAGCAGCCCCACCACTCACCAGCCGCGCAGCTCAATTCTGGACCAGTTGCAGTCACCGGACCGTCTTCAAAGGCAGCCCAACGTAGAGCGCATTGCAGTAATCTATGCGAAATGTTACCAGTGCATGTGTAACTGTCATGAGACTCTGCTCGTCCAGGTAGGGCCGTAGCTGTTATAATTTCCGCAGGTGAAGGAAGACGCCCCTGGCCACCAAATCCACCTGGGCTTCCAGAATTAGACCAGGGTCCAGGAGCACCCCCAGGCTGTGGACCCTGTCCCTTAGATCAAAAGGTCCAAACTATACATTAAACTCCAAGTTGGTCAGTACCTCTCCAAAATCTTCAGTAGGGTGGACAGGGTTTTCTTGGACCCAGCCCATCTAACTGAAATCCTTTGATTGACTGCTGTGACCTTGCAGCACAGAGGCTTCTGTGGTTTAACCCACAGCGCCACCACATCCCTATAGGGTAGAATACTGTCTATCTGTTAAGCCTATTAAAGCTTTTGGTGGACCAAGGAGTACTGATGTAAGGACAAGCAGTACTGATGTAAGACAATGTACTATTGTTTCTTTTGGTCAACAACTCACAGAATCCCTCAACTGGCATGGCTACTGGCAATGCTGGCTGAAGGACTTTGGGAGTTGTATTCTGAAAAAGGATGTTTATCAAGCTTTGTAAGACAGGCATCGTAGGGGTTTCTTCACTGAAATTTAGGAGACCCTAAAGTGGCTACCCACCATGTTCACCTGCATCCCAAAGAGTTTTGTCATGCCTTCTCCCTGCCCCAGGCTCTTTGTATCATAATGCAGCAACACAGTACACCCTTACCCAGGAAGCTGGCTATCCTTTCTCCCTCTCGCATGGCCACTCTGTACAGCTGAAGCTTCAATGGATCCGCTTTAGAGACATGCAGAGCCATTTTCTCAAATGGCCCTGGAACCTGAATCAAAAGTAGGGACAAATTTAAATTTATAGTGGTGGGTCTGAGGTGGCAAGGGCTTCAGAGGTCTGAAGCAATTTCTACCATCTCCTTCCCTGCCCCCCTTCTCTGCTGTCCCCTTCAAACACAGCTTAAAGTTTAGTTAACTGCCCTACTGCAATAAGCAACAGATTATACAGGGTTGGGTCCCCCATTCCAACATGGCTGGTCATCTTGGAAGAGGAGGACTGACAGATCCCCGATCTTTTCCTGAGTTTTTCGGATCTCCAATAGACATTCATAAACAGCCATTCACCTCTACATTTCTCACCTTTATTCAGAGAATAGAAAGTTACTTTTAACGAACCTAATGAGAATCAGAAGCTGTCCAAAACTGACAGGACCATTATGAATTGTTTCACAGCTTAGAAAAAAATGCTTTCTGCAAAACTGCTTTCTGGGAGCTCAGCTTCAACACATTGCTACATTTATTCTTCACAAAATCAGCTTTCCAAGTTCTCTTTTTCATTCGTAGTGACAGATCGCTGAGAGCAAATGCCTCAGAGTTCAGAATCAATTTCTATCATCTCCCTCATGGGTAGAAAAGCATGCTCTCACCTGTGGGTCCCACCTCTTATTCTCATGTGCCTTCCACAAGAAGACCTCTGCCAAAATCACAGCCTGGGCACAAAGTTCCTGGTCCTCGTTTCCTGCATGTCATGTGGCAATATGGCCAAGAACTGCTCTTGGATTACCAGCTCCAATATCTGCTCCTTGGAGTGTTTCTCTGGCTGCAGCCATCGATAGCAAAGATCCTGAAGCTGGCTGCAAACATCTCGGGGTCCCTCAGCATCTAGGTAGGAGAACTGCCTGAACTGCTGTCGCCATATCTCCAGGCTCACTGTGTCTTCATCCACCATCTCTTGCTTTACCCGGAGTCCTATGGGGCCCAACCTTCTACAGGCCTGAGTGATTTCTCCATTAAGGTCTGTTAAGGTCTGGATAACTTCTTCTTCTCTAGGCCAACAACTGGAATTAGCTATCCTCCTGATGCAGGTCTGCAAAGTTTTGCTATGATCCCATCGGCTGTGCACCAGTGACTTCCTTTGAGATTTTGTTGCTTTCTGGAAATCCTGCTGTGGGGCTTTCTGATTTTGTTGCAGGCTTTTAACAGATACTTGATTTATCTCTTGCAGAGGTATCACATCAGGTACCTGTTGAACCTTTTGTGGAGCTGATTCACCTGGTGTCTGGTTAGCTTCTTGGGGATTTGTCTCATCTTGAAACTCTTCAGCAGCCCTAGGCTGAAAAATTGGCTGGTCTCCGTTTTCCTCCAGTCTTGCTTCTGTTTGAAGACCTCTTGGTTCCTGATCATCCATTTGTATTCCTGGAGCTGCAAATGAAATCCAGCTTTTAAAATCAGTGTAAAGAGGTGTGCTCCAGGCAAAAATAGTAATCAGCCAGGATTTGGGCAGAAATTTGAACCATTCCTTCAGTAAGTCAGCACAGCTACTGCTAGACTTCAGCCATTATATAGTGTATATTGACTACACTCATTCATAAAATACTCTGGGTAATTTTAATTGTTTCAAAAAGATGGTTTGAGAAAGGTGTTTGTGACAATCGCCCACGTTACTCAGGCTATTCATAGTCATGAGCTGATTTGCATGAGCCTATGAGAGGTTTGGAGAGGCAGAGTCAGCAGCTACATGAGGCAGGAAAAGGAGGAGTCAGATAGAGATTGGAATGAGATCCAGATAGAGATAGGGGACTGGTTAATCAGAGAGAGAGAGAGAATATATACTGAGAGAGACAGAGCTGGTTAGGAAAATAGGTAGAGAAGGTGGTAATGATATTGCAAGGGAAAAGAAATATGTACTGAGAGAACTGTTCATGATTTGCTTGTGTATAATGTATATCTGAAGAACTTCTGTTATTATTAAATATGCTTCAATTCAATACATACTGTAAGTTCTGTTTGTGTTCACAAGACAAGTGTCCTGACAAACATCATTTATATTGTGGATTGAGGTAATCCACTGGTGGCACTAAATGGAAAATGTGACGTGAGCCTTTGTGAGGGCAAAACACGCAGGTGCCACAAGGGTGAATGCCATAGTTTTCAAGTCTGGTTTTTAATATTTGTAGGTTTTTAATATTTCCGTATCAGAGTTGTACGATGCCTGGAAGTTATTCCCCTGAAAATATGTCCAAGTAAGGTAAATCAACAGCAACTGAACAAATGTTGATTTCAATCTCCACTCAGTCAAGAAGCTATCTGGGTAACCTTATATCAGTTACTCATCTACTGGTCTAAAAAATTACCTTGCAGGCTTGTGTGTGGAATGAAACAGTGTATGTTGCTTTGATCTTCTTGGAGAAAAAGTGGAGCGAAATGTAAATAAGTAAAAATGTAAATAATAAATAGCTAGTGAAATACAGAAGACGAGACAAGCAAGGGAGATTATAGTGTAGTGGAAAAACACTGAAGTTTTATATTAAATTTAAAATATGATTATAATCATCATCACCATCTCAGAACTGCACACTTGGAAGGGACCCAATGAGTCCAGCCCTGGTGAAGAAGGCACACTGGGGAACTGAATATATATATCTACACATACAGCCATATATATGGCTCTGTGTGTGTGTGTGTGTGTGTGCGCGCTTTATACTGCATTATACCTGCAAACAGATCCTGTAATTCACGATATGTATCTAATTCAGCTTAGGTATTCCTGAGTGGAATACCTAAGCTGAATTAGGTGTGTGTGTATATATATAAAGCATATATAAAGCAGTTATACTGTATATGGCGTGGTGTGTGTATATATATATATATATACTGCTTTGTGTGTATATATATATACCTAATTCAGCTTAGATGAATTAGATACATATCGTGAAAATGTGTTTCCGTTGTTCATTACCTTACTGGACCTACAGACAATCTGGGTAGGATCCAGAGAGAGGATCCTGCAGGGGCTGCTTGCGCAGAATCCCGGCTGTCTCTGATCTAGAATCGAGCTTTGGAGAGCCTCTCTTGCTTCTGGTTTCCTCCTGCCTTTCCCTTTGCCCTCAAGGCAGCCAGGATTTCCCTTTTTTTCCCCCTTCTGCATAAGTCCAGAGATCTCTGACATGACAGTTCAGCACTCTCTCCCATTCCACCTCCTTTCTAATCCGTACGTTGTTGTCAAGGGTGCAGGACAGCACTGTACTTCCAAAAGCTGAATTCTTGCCGGAAGAGAGGAAGGAGAAGACAAGATTAACACGAAGAGAGCCTAACCAATTCCGTCCGGATTTTTTTTTTTCTAGGACCTCTCTAGGAATCAGAGCTCTGTGGAACGCAGTTACGCTATAGATCTCTGGAAGTACGTAATGGCAATGCGGTCACGTCCCGTGTTGCACGTCCGGGACAAAAATGCTGGCGTCGTGTCTCCTAATTGCTGCCTTATTCTTTAGTGTCTGCAGCCTTGTTATCTGCCCTCCCTTTCGATTTAGGGCGACCCTATAAATTAACAATCTCCAAACCGGCCTATCTGCGACAGCCCTGCTCATCTCCTGCAGACTCAGGTCTGTGGATTCCTGCAGGGAGTCAATTCATCTCATATTCGGTCTTCCTCTTTTCTTGCTGCCTCCTACCTTTGCCAGAAGCAAGTGATTTTTTTTCTTTTTCTTCTTTTTGAGTTTTGCCATCTTGGAAACGTGCTGGTTAGACTTAATTGTAATAATTGTATTATATATGTTTATTTTAATGTGTGTTAACCTATGTAAGCCGCCCTGAGTAGACATAGTCTAGAGGGGCAGCATAAAAATAAAATAAAATAAAATAAATAAATAAATAAAATGAATAAATCATTGTCCTTTCCGGAGAATCCTGCCTTCTCATCACGTGCCCAAAGTAAGACAGCCTCAGCTTCAAAATCTTTGCCTCCAAAGATAGTATACACATCATTTCCTCTAGGACCCACTTATTCATCTTTCTTGCATTCTGGGGTATTCACAAAGCTCACTTCTAGCACCACGTTTCAAGCAACTCAATTATTTCCCTATAAGCTTTCTTAACTGTCCAGCTTTTCACACATGGTGACTGGAAATGCAAGAGTGTGGGGATGATCATCTTGGTCTTCAGTGGCACATCCTTACTAATAATATATTTAGAAAAATAAAAATAAAAGGATCTACATGGTCAGCTACATACAATTCATTATTTCCCCTGTGTTTTGAATAGAATGCAAGGAAATAAATAAGTTGCTTTGTTTTGCTATTTTTGTGGGTGGAATCTTGCCACTTCCCACAGCAGGAGGCTATGAACAAATGGCTACACAGATGCTTTTGCTGGCAAAGGGTTAGGCGGTGGTTTCTACTTCTACAAGAAAGAGCTAGAAAAAGCCATGGTTTCTGAACTCTCAATGCATTCATTATTTTAAATCTGCAGATTTTTGTAATTTACTCAGAGGAAGCAAATAACATCACCTGAGGTTTTGGTCACAGGAAAGGCAATCTTGCTCAGGGCACTCCCACATTCTCCAAACACTTCACTTTGGAACCAACCAGCTCTACAGAACTATAGAAAATGAAGATTTGGTGCCAATGAGTGTGTATGAGTCAATACAAAATGTCAGAGGGTGTCACGAGAGGAGGAATGATCCAGAGTGGGACGGCAGAAGGGAGAAAGGGTTCTGACCTATATTGGGGGCTCTGCATCACCTATTTATTCCTCCTAAATAATTATCACACAACTGCCCCAGATACACAAAATAATAAAGGTACTGCCACAGCCGCTTGTTTGTATAGTTGATTAAATGAGCAGGAAGCAGACATTTGCTATGTAAAAGAGCATTTCAATGGATTGGGCCCCAGAGCACAGACAGACATGTTGCCTTTATTATAGGACTCAAAACTTATGTCTTGAGTTGGCCACTTTTCTTGCTTCATGGGCTTGGTTGGTTTTAAAAAAAGCTTCTTAAAATCTTTTACAAGTGTTCAGCCCCTGTCTCTCATTTCATATAATGAAGACGTATACTTCCTAACCACCTGGAATGGCTGTGCTGTAGTCATTCAGTCTCCTTCAGCAAGAGGTACTGAGATAAGCAGTGGAAGGCAGAACTCTGTAATGCAGAGGAGAAGGGTAAAAATGTAGGGTATTTAGACAAGACTTTAGCCAATTTCTCTTCCTGCCTTTCTTCCCTTCCAAGGGAGGTGGTCACACAACTCAGTAGCAATGTCTCAATGAGCGGGTAGTAGATGAAGAGAAAAACGTGATGCCCTGAACAGCTGCTGTCAAGGTAAGGTGAAACTGGCTAAGGTGAAGGATTAGAAATAAAAAAAATTTTGGACTCCCAACTCCCAGTACAGTATTCCAGAGCCAGCTCTGGGCTAGAGGGACAAACAAAACAACTTCCATGTTCTTTTCTAGAAAGATACTTGAGCACCATTTTGTCAAACTCTGCGACTCCAGAGAGAGTCCTTGAGCCAAAGATTAGAAATCCAAGAAACCAGAGGCATTTTTATGGGTGTCCCTGAGATGGTCCCCAATGTGCCATCTTTGCCTGGCAAACAGAAAACAAGGGACTTATCCTGCCACTGATCCTAATTTAAATGAAAAAGAAATACATTGTATGGTGGTGGTGGTGGTTTTCAGTGAACTTTATTTACCACAGGACTTTCAGTTTCACAGAGCTCTTCATCAGGCAGGAAAGTGAAGTGCTGCAGTGTTCTGTGCAAGCTGACATGCTGCATACTTCTGTACCAACTTGTTTAGTTGTTAAGTCGGGTCCGACTCTTCGTGACCCCATGGACCAGAGCATGCCAGGCCCTCCTGTCTTCCACTGCCTCCCGGAGTTGGGTCAAATTCATGTTGGTAGCTTAAGTGACACTGTCCAACCATCTCGTCCTCTGTCGTCCCCTTCTCCTCTTGCCTTCACACTTTCCCAACATCAAGGTCTTTTCTAAGGAGTCTTCTCTTCTCAAGAGATGGTGAAAGTATTGGAGCTTCAGCTTCAGGATCTGTCCTTCCAGTGAGCACTCAGGGTTGATTTTTTTTCAAAATGGATAGGTTTGTTCTCTTCACAGCCCAGGGGACTCTCAAGAGTCGTCTCCAGCACCACAATTCAAGAGCATCAATTCTTCGGCGGTCAGCCTTCTTTATGGTCCAGCTCTCACTTCCATACATCGTTACTGGAAAAACCATAGCTTTGACTATGTGGACCTTAGTTGCCAAGGTGATGTCTCTGCTTTTTAAGATGCTGTCTAAGTTTGTCATCACTTTCCTCCCAAGAAGCAGACGCTTTCTTTCTTTCTTTCTTTCTTTCTTTCTTTCTTTCTTTCTTTCTTCTTCTTCTTCTTCTTCTTCTTCTTCTTCTTCTTCTTCTTCTTCTTCTTCTTCTTTTTGATGTTGTACCAACTTGGTTAGCCCCAAACCATTGGTCCTATCAAGCTTGTATTACATGGCAGCCAGTGCCTACTGAACAAAGGAAAACTATTCAGCCCAAAATCAGACCAGGAGGGACATGGGAAATGAAAATGTTTAAATTTCACTTCCCCTGCCCCTCCATGGATTTGAGATTCTGCTGTGGGAAGTTTCTCCACTGGCCCTTCAGACATACCAAAGAAAATAAATAGATCCTTCTAAATGTATTTTTCAAAATGTGTTTTTGTTTGTTCATTTGTTTTATGTGATGATTTTAAGGATTCTTTACTTCATAATTTTTAAATTGCATCTTGAATGCTGTTTTTAGTTCTTGTTTTTCAGTGATTTGTGAGTCGCTCACTGGGCAAAAGGCAGCATAGAACTGCAATAAATAAAATAATAAATAACCCATACATACAGCAGCTTAACGACTAAACAACAACAACACACCAGCTGTCGTTTCTTAAGAGAAGGCGCACAACGCGCATGCAAAAAATAAGGTCCAAGAGCGCCTTTTGTCCGAATCTCTTATAATTACGGGCAAAACCTTGGCATCGTCCAACAAGGGAGATAATCCCAGGATTATCTGGCCATCCAGATCCTAAGAGACTTTCTGGCTGCTGATGAGTTAATCGCTAAAAACCTCCGGGAGCTGGGTCCAGAGAGTCGGCTCCCCACAGCCTTCACTCAGGTCGGCACTAGAAAAGGCAGAGATCAATTAGATCCCCTCCCCTTTCGTCCTGGCACCGGACTCAGGGTGAGCCTGTCGCACACCAGGGACCCGATCCAAGCCCACAAATGTGTTTTCCTTGCCCATGACTCAAAGGCAAAAGGAGGCCCAAGACTGGCGATCACTCTGCTCTGTTGTTGATCCTTCCCTTCCTCCTTCCTGCCTACCCGCTCCCCCCTCCCTCTTTCCTCGGACCGATCCACCTCTAATCCTCCCAGCCATTTCCTGTGCCGGCAAAACACGGAGATCTGGTATAACAGCGACCGCCCCTGCCAAAAATCTGAGCGGCGTGGGAGAGACGATGCAAGAGACAGAAGTACTTCCCAGAACCTACTGGCAGAAAGGAAGAAAATGGACGCCTTAGGGGTTTTTTAGACGCGCAATTACGCACGTCTGCACTCGCGTAGAAGGATAGGGGAAAAAAAGGCCACGATCCTTTCCTGTTCCTACCGCGGAGATCTACTAGAAAGCCAAGTAGATTCTTGTGCAATGGAAAAAGAAAAGAGTTTTCACACAGGCCAGTGCAAAAGCTGGCCGCTGCAGGGCAAAAATACATGTAGTTTAGTAATGTGGGAACTTGATAGCACATACCAATAATGACCACAATTGATTATATTTGTGGATTTAAAGCATTCTGTTCTATAGAAATGATTCCCTAATGAAACAAACAGCAGACTTTCCATTTTTTTGTATTTCTTTAAATACCAGTACTTACAAAAACTGCAAAGGATAAATACTGTACTATCTCTTGGCTACTGGAAAAAATTGTTCATCTAAAAAGAAACAATTTTTCTTTTAAAGCAGTTGCTTTCTCATATGTAGATCTTTTATGTAGATTTTTCTGTGTGATTTGATTAATTAACTAATAGTCTTTTAATTGGGTGATAGCCCTGCTTTACAAAAAACATGGAGAATCACCTCCTAAAACTGGTACGTACTTTCAGTATTTTCAGGGCATTGCTGGATGTTTGGCTCTTCACAATAATCTCTTGCAATACCTGTATTAACAGGTGTCAGGCGTTATTGGCTGCTCAGTAGTACAAAATATCTTTGTTCACCTGTGAGCAAGCAAATGTGCCGATGTCTGGTA